CCTTCTCTATCTACTTGGATGGTGAGGGGGTTGTTTTGTCTTGCTTATTCCAAAACCTTCCTGTTACGGTAGATTCTCTCTTAGTATACAGTAGGTTGAGTGAATGCATAAGCTGAGTATCATTGAGATGATGATTTGGGATGATTATGCAGACACGGTTTACTGGTAGTGAGAATTCAGATCTGCTTAGATGGAGGAGTATATGTGTATGGAAATTTCATAAATAAAAAAGACTATGTTGACCAGAAAGCAGTATTTCTATTATAAGAATACTGTTCTACAGTACTGATTCTAGATAAGTAAACTAGTGTTTCCTTTAAAGACACAATGGTAAAAACCCATGTCACGTGACTAATCCAGGTATCTAACAGAATAAGCCTCAACACACTTGTGTTTTACACCTCATGCTCACTTGACAGAAGACATGTAGATAGTGTCATTGGCTCACACTGAAATGTTATTTTAACTGAAGTATCAATTGTAGTTATTGTGGCACTTGTATGTTTAGGCAATACAACTAATGAACAACACCCAGTTTAGTGAGACAGCTAATGCTTCTATCAAGTTGAAATATTAAAATAATATATTTGTGTTTAGTAGGTTGTTCATTGTGTCCCATCGAAGACAGTCATATGCTGGACCCAATTTCTAGGAAAGGAAAAGTGGGAAAGCGAAGAGAGTAGTGTTTGACACCATCACCAGTAGACAGTGAGCAATTCATTGTGAAAATCATATCTGACATTGATACAGTGTGAACAGGAACACAGTGTTCTGAGCCCCTTATATTTCCTCTCAGATTCATATAATGATGTCCATAGCCAAGTGCAAGTAGACAGAAGTTGTATGCACTGTGAATTATGATCATTGCAAGAAGTACAGGAAAAGTTCTGTTTGTGTTTTGTACCAGGACAGAGATAGATGTTAATGGTCTTCAGCCTTGTATGTTTGTGAAGAAATGGAATAGCAAATCTCACAATCTGAGCTTAATTGACAAGAGAACAGCCCAGAGGCAATACAGCTTCTTCTGATGAGGGCTTTCTTATCCTGTGATTTCAAGAGCTTTGAGTAAAACTGAGAACTCAGAAGAATGGAAGAAGGACTTCCATGAACCCCAGAATGAGGTCCTAATGTCCATGTACACAAAACTCTTGCCATTAAAGAGAATGATGCAGAAGGTTAGCAGAACTGAAGACAGCCTTTGGTAAAGCCAGTAGTGTAGCTCCCTTGGCTCTGTCATTGTTTAAATCAGCAAGGAGCTATGTGCAGTTCTGGCTAAGGTTATCTGAGGTATAGAGAAATGGTGTTAGTTGCTGGCAGCAAGGAGGATGCAACACAAGGCAAACTGATGGGCTTGGAAACCACCTTGTAAAGGACTGGAGAAAGCACAGTGAAGACGACATAAATCTTTTGAATTACTGCATTCAATATTTGGCTGAAAAGTAATTACTCTGTATATAATGATGCTACTGACTTTCTGGGAAAAGGATTCTGTGTAATGTGTTTTGTCCAGTTTTAAGAAGAAAGATTCTTGAAAAGTTTGTTTTAGAAAGATTTCTTTTGAAACATTTCAATCGGAGTTTAAGTAAAAACTAGAGCTATTTTTTTGCTCAGCCTTGCTACGGCACTCAGGGTAGAATTAACCATTTCATCCTCTGGCTTCAGCTATCTGTGCCTCCAAACTGAGATAAACACATGTTACACATGTTATAATTCTTAGAGGACCCAAGAGCCAGGTGACCATCACGCACCCTACAGTGGGTACAGGATCTTCGGAGTGTGTGGTATTAAGTGTGATATGGTGTCTCTTTTCTTCTCATGCTAAATGGTCTTCAAGTATTTATTTAAAACAAGTTTAATTAGTTAAAGGAAACAAAAAGTAATTAAACACATGAACTTGAACATTTTATGTTCTCATGTGGTTTATATGCACAAATATTTCAGGGCAGGACAAAAGTTCAGAGTAGTACTTGGTGTCTTTGTGAAGCCACCTTACATCAGCACCTGGGTTCTTATTCAAGTAGATTCAGACTGGGAATCCCAGACTTAAGTCTCAGATTGCAAGTTTAGTTTACGTTTCCTAATCAAAAGTGTGTACATTTTCAAATTTCACTAACTCATCACTGTGTTTTTTTTATTTGTGAGTTTTTGACTTTCCTGGGCTTTGAGAATATTTCTCCAGACTGAAGGTAACTAAGCAAGTTAAGGGAACCTTTATTGTTTGTCAGAAAAATAACTGAGCTGCCTACTTAAAGATGATAGAGATCTGCTTTCCCTGGAATGAACCCTTGATTTTACTTTGACTTAAAAGATTTTCTTTGCCAAACATTAGGCTAAGTTGAAGACTTTGCTGACTGTACACTTTGATGTAGTATGGACAATCAATGACACTGATATCTATAGAGATGACTAAGCCCCAAGCTCCATCTGCCTATGAAGACTGGTCCTTTCTTTTAAGATATCATTTCATCTAGCCACACTCTCCCACCTCTGCTGATGGTAGATATCCAGAATCATTAGCTAAATTAATTGTTTTATGTGCTTGGTATTTATAATGACATAAAGTGTAATGGAATTACTTAGTGGAAAGAAATTAATGGGATGTACTTCAAATATATTCTTACCAGAGGTTATAACTAGGGTTCTTTATCTTAAAGACTACCAAAAGAATACTGTTGATGAATTTCAGTGCCATCAGAACAAACCATCTAGAACAGGTTAAAATGCTTTTGTACGTTGTTTTGAATCATCCCACAGTCTATAATGATGTTGAAGATACTGCCCCCTATACACCTTCTAAAAGGAAGGAGAATGAGAATTTAAAGTGTTTTCCATTGTCCTGGAAGAATGATGTGATATACCGATTCCTCATATCTAGGAGTCCTGCCTTACATTGGGATTGGATATTCATATCCTCCTTCCAGGCCACAGCTGTGCAAATCGAGGTGCTGTATGTAGGAGCCTCAAGATACAGGTGTGTGTTGGGGGGCAGGTAAGTAAGAAATGCAGAAACTTGAAAGCAAATTGCAGCAGTAACACACCACTCCCTTATAAGCTCCCCTCTGTGGTCCATAGGAATGTGGTTCCAATCAATCCAGGTGCTGTGGTATCCAAACCAATTTTAATGTGTGAAATTGTATAAGAAATAATCACATAGTTAAATGTTGATGGCTAATTTTCAAGTTTAATGGCTTAAATAAAACACATCTGTTGGCTGCTGAAGAGTCACATCTACGTTAGATGTAAACACTCCATGTATATATAACGCTATCACATATGTAGGATGTTTAAATAATGTTCTTTGCCAACACTTATGGTCAAAAGAAATGTTTGCTTTTTGTAAAGAAATTATGCTAGTCCATTAATAAATAGATAGGTTCCTCTTGAGTTTCAACAACACATTCACGGTGATGGATATAAGCAGTTGTATCTTCTTCTTCTGGTTACAAACAGATTAGTTGTAAATTATTGATGATGAAATAGCAAGAAAGGATCGAAGTTGTATTTATGAAGTTACTCTATGCATGCTAAGATAGGTGTTCAGTTCTTCCTCTGTATCATGTTTAATATGTTACACACTCTCAAGTAGAGAAAAGAATGGGGACAAGGAAGGATGCAGATGCTCTGACACAGCTTGTAATTAGTTCCTTGAGGGACAAGAAGAGAAACTCAAAGAGTCAAAGTGCATCATTTAACTCTGCCAATACAGTGTCTGCTTAGCATATAAAGCAAGGAATGGAGTACCCATCATGTTCTACCTTGGCAATGATTGTCCCTTGGCTGGGACTCAGAGAATGAGAATGTCACCTTTTGGCATTCAGGTTATCCCAAAGATAAATAATAAAAAGAAAATCCATGCATTTCTCTGAAGGTAATTTGTACATAGTTTTGAAATCTGTAAATCATTTAAAGATGAAAAAAATCCCATGTATCACAAAAATAGGGGACGTCACTCTCCGTCCTCATAATTTACAGAATGAATGAAGACTTACAATGGCTACATGGCTTGCCTCCCATTAGGCACCTTGCGGAATAGTCGTGTTTATGTTCATCTCTTCTCATTTGGGAGCTCATCATGTTTATTTCCATGCATTGCTCTTTCTATCCGCTTTAGCTCTGCATTTCATTTAAATGGAAAAGCAGCTCTGGGCTCATTCATTATTTAAATTGGAGTACTCACACTCCCGTTCGATATTGAGGTATCTATATACACAGATACGTTGTATATAGATGTAAAGCTGCAGTTATGGAGCGAAAAGATAGATTACTTAAATGTTAAACCCCAGGGCTGGAGAATGAATTATCTGTAGCACATTGCCCTTGCAGATGTCCTTAACAAGTGGTCTGTTGGTGACTCTGAAATGTTAACTTTATACTTGGCTCACAGCCTTACAATCATGTTTTAGAAAAGAATTAACATAGATGAAGAATTTTGAGATAGATTTTATATTTCATTTGCAATGATGAACAAATAGCAGCTTTTATTTGTGACTCTTTCCTGTGATATGTAAAACATCAGACCAAATATTAAAAGAAGTTAAACATAAACTAGGCCACATCTTATAGAATAGATTGTTTTTATATTCCGCAATAGTCAACTTTCTAAAAGTTAGGTAAGTTCATGCTATTTAATAGATCCTATTGTCTCGCTATAGGAACTGACCTCAAAAGAAGACCCTTTTCATGGTTCTCATCAGTTCAATTACATTGAATTATAAATATATCATATTTATTAATATGTATTTCTCTATGCATCTTTGTACATGTAGACCTTTAAAAAAATCTTGGGAGGATGGCATATAAACCAGAACTCACACAATGCAAAACAAAACAAACTGATTTACCTCCAAAGACATGGCTGTATTTTAGCTATTGAGTCCTTTACAGGACAAGCATCCTCCATGAACATCAGTGTTCTTTGGCAGAGTCTTACCAAAGAAGGACACAGTTCGAAAGCAAGCCTGCTTTACAAGTTCCCCCTCCTACCCCTAGTCTGCCCCTACCTTTCGAAGGGGCTTGAGCTTGGTTTCCATTATGAAGTCATACTTGCAGAGCTCACAACATCGTGTGTCTGAGCTCTTGATCCACTGGTGGAGACAAGACTGGTGGACAAAGCGCAAAGTTCCTGTGCAGCGGCAGGGTGTGATGAGTGGGCTCTCCTCATCTCCTTCGCAGTGACAGATCCTGGGGAAGGATGGGGCAGAAAACATGAGTTCTCCCAGAGTATATGACACACCACCTGAGGTCTGCCTTAGCATCAGGCTCTATTAGAAACTTTAACCTTCGGTCTAGAGTTCATCGTCTTTTCACACAGACTTTAATGGTAGACCCAAACTTCTGATCAATATCCATTCACTTTCATATGATAGTTATTCTTGGACTCAAGTCATATGATAAGGCATTAGATAGATGTACACCAGAACTCATTTATTTTTTTCTGACAGTGAAGCCAATTTAAAGAGCAAATCTATTGAGCTTAGTCTATTTCAAAGGTTACTGTCTATGGTGTTTCACATATAAAGGTCATGACTTAGAAGTAGCCCAAAGAAGATGTATGGTGGAACACACTTTAAGCTCAGCACGAGGGAGGAAGAGGCAGAGGCAAGGGATCACTCCAAGTTTAAGAGCAGCCTAGTCTATAAAGCAGGTCCAGGACAGCCGGGAACAAATAGTAAGGTATTGTCTTAAATAAGTAAGTAAATAATAATTAATTAATTAATTAGTTAAAATAACCCCCAAAAACATGTTTAAAATAATCTTATAGTTTGATAACTTCACCATGTTATTTTGATGCCAGAATTACAGAGTCACGTCGTACAATTTAACAGTATGAAATATTACTACTATGGAAGAATTTTGTAAAGCTTTAAAGTGAAATCACATCATAATGTTAATACTGAAAGTCTATTCTGAGTATATCACCAATTTCCTAGGAGAATGCACATCAATTAGGTCATAATGAACTGTCAGTTGTTATCATTGTATAACATTCATAATCAATTTCTGGTCCCATAAAATTTTAGTTCAGTAAATCCTACTGTTTGAAAATGCTGACATTTCTGTCTATAAATTCAGAGTTCCAATACTTTCTGGAGTCAAGTGAATTTTGGTTACAGAGATTTATGGCCCATAAATTTGTTGCTACTCTTACTTTCATAATTTAGAGAGTTTTCTCCTTGAATGAGACAAATTGTTCACAATTTTATATAGTTAATTAAAAGCTTAGCCCTTGGCTAAAGGGATGGCTTACTGGAGAAAGTACTTGCCCTATGAGTGTTGGGCCCTCAGCTAGAATTCCCAGGACCCATTTAGTGCTGGGTATGGTAGTGAGTCTGTAACCCCAGCTAGGGCAAAATGGGAGGCAGACAGAGGTACATCCTTGGAGGCTTGTGGGACAGCTGTAGTTAACAGCTAAGGGACCCTGTATCAAACAAGGTGAAGGTGATGGCTCACACCTGAGGTCCTCTGACCTTCATATGCATTCTACACAAATGTTCCTGAACTCACATACATGTATATGCATTCATATACATGGACCTGCATCATATTCACACATGGAAGAGAAAAAATTCTTAGACCTTCAAAAATTTAATAATTTAACCATCTGTTGAGAGTCGTTAACAAACATCATTAGAAATATTGCTTTATGCATATTCAAAATGTAAGCACCAAATATAATATTTTAAACCCTTTTAAATCTGCATAATTACCCAGGGATAGGCTGGAAAAACACATAAATTAGTTTCTGTTAGTTCCTTACAGGTGTACACACTCTTCTCCATCTGGAGGAATTTTGAAGATTGGATTAAGACTCTACTCTTAATATATCTTGTCTCCCTTGAAGACTAGAAGAAGTGAGGTGGTTGCTCTCATATCTAGTGCAGGAAGTTAGAGGAATTGTAACCCCATGGCCTACCAATCTTAAAAAGAAAATATGCATAACAGAGTACATGTGTATTTTGTATGTATTACTTAAGTAAAAATAGCCAAAGAGCACTGACTTCTGTACCTTGAGGTGGAAATTGTTGGATGAGAACAAGTTCACAGCCAGTGACTCCCTTTTCCTAGTTGAGTTAAGAAGTTATAGATCATCTGTGTATCTTGTATAAAAAGCCAACATAATGGAAAAAAATATCTGCTTGGCCATTTTTGATGCCAAATCCTGTAACATCTCCTTTATCCACACCTAGGGCACAGAAACTTTGCATCAAACTGATGTCAACACAGCATCACAGCACAGGGCTCCCTGGGTGTTGGTTGAATATTTAAATACACCATCCTATGAAAGTGGTAAGTATTACTTGTATGCGCATTTTCAGGGTTGGCCATCTGATACTGGACAACCAATTGGTGTGCTTTTCCCTAGGAAGAACCACCTTTCCTAGGTTCAACCTCCATCAGTTGTCAGTAGTTCTTTGTGTAGAGTTGAAACCTCATGGACTTTTCGCCATCTAGTTTGTCAAGTGTACTGTTGTATTCTTGAACACAACATGTTATATTTAAGAATATGTCTGTATGTGAAAATACACTAATACATACAATAACAATGAAAAAAGAGGCTATAAATTTGAAGGATAGAGGAGGGGTATATGAGAAGCTTTGGAAAGAAGAAAGGGAAAGGAAGAAATATAATTAAATTTCAATTTCAACACTAATAACAATAATAAAACAAAACAAAGAAGACAAAGGAAACAAAGTTTCCACTTGCACAGAATTTAATTATAATTTTATTTTTATTGCCACTGAAGAGATAGAGAATTAGAAATCACAGAGAATAATAGGTTATACCCCACCCTCCAAATTAGTTTTTTAAAATTAGGCTACAAAGTAAGGGACTTCGTTACGGTGCTTTCATGCATTCACCTTTCCTGTTGCTCCTCCTCTGACTCCTTCTCCCCATGTCCCACTCCCCTTCCCACTGGTCCTTTTTCTACTACAGTGCTCCCCTTCTGCTTTCCTGTCACACACACGCTCTGTCATCCTTCCCTCCCTTTCCTTTAAGATTTTTTCTGCTCTCATGCCTTCTTTCTAGTTTCATTATATCCACACTTCCACATATAGAACACTCACACATTTTCAATGAAGATTAAGCTGTAGGATTCATGGGTCAGAAAGCATGTGATATTTCCCATTTTGATTCTTAGCATTTTTTTTTTTGTTCAGAAATAAAGATCGGTTTCATCCATTTCCTTTACAAATCCCATGATTTATTTTTTTATGGATGCGAAACATGACATTGTGTATATGTACCGTATTTTCTTTATTATTTCATCTATTGGTGGGCATTTAGACTGGTTCCATTCCTTATCTATTATGGATAGAGCAGTAATAAACACAGATGTGCAAGATGTGTTCGATGTGGAATCTTTTGGAATATATTCAGGATTGGTATAGCTGGGTAATGGGGTGGTCCTATTTTTAGTTTTCTGAGTACTGAAATTATGAAGACATAAACTTATGTCTTCATACTGTTGCCCACAGTGAAGACATAAGTTTAACTTCTACTAGCAGTGAACAGAGTTGCTCTTCTCACCCCACCACAAGCATACTAGTATTGCTTGTTGTACCCTTGACAGTAGTAATTCTGATTAAGATAAGATCCCATCAGTGTTGAGAATGGAGGTCAGGTCTTCTGCAACACCAACAAGCATTCTTATGGCTGAGCAATCTCCTCAACCCCCAAGGAACATTTCAATGTAGAGTTTTTGAGAAAAAGTTTGCAGTCCCCTCCCTTAAAGTGTTCATGATTTTTCAGTGTTAAGGCCAGTGTATGACAGCAGTGGCACAGCATGTTCTACAAATAAATCACTCTAATCCTTTTCTTCTTTAACCAAGAAATTCAGGGAAAGATTAAACACAGAAGTAAAATAGAAAATCACAGTGCAGATGCAATCATTCTTGGTGTGGCATTACCCCTCACTGCTTCTGTAGACAAAGAGTCTTACTTGAAAAAGAGAATTTAGGAGCTTATGCCATGTGATAATTCCTTACTGAAAAGGAAGATTGTGTCAAATGCTCTACAGATGCCAAAAGAATCACAGGCTCTGACTCTTCCTGACCTGAAAAAGGAAATTTATTCATAAGTAGCTTTAAACAAAGACCTAGCTGATTACTGAGCTCAATCTGACCTTGCCAGTTTACTGATTATGGTCCAACTTCCTGTCTTAAAATGTCTCTCTTTTTAGAATAATCTTGTTAAAGCCTTTTCCTGAAGCAAACTGGCAATAGCCTTTTCTTATAAAATTAAAGTTATTTCCCACAGGGAAAATCAAAAGCTTGATTCATTTTCATTTCCACTTTATACAATGTACATTTGCATGTTTTTAGTGTTTTGAAATTTTTCTAAATTATCCAGTTCAAGTTGTATCCCAAGAGTCTTCTTAAGCTAAGCTAGATTGTTCTGAATAAATTTAAGAGCAAAATATCAACTTCGAACCTCTAATAAAAATAAAAAATAATGTGATAGTGCCATTAAGGAAATAATTAAACAGTTTTAAAATTGATGTGCCTCACACAAACCATCATTGCTACATTATGGATGAAAACATGTCAAAAAAACACAAATAGGTTTTCCCTACAGAATGATTGTGTAAAAAAATGATTTCAATGCTATAATAAAATTATAATGTAAATTATTTGTGATGTGAGGCATTTTTATCTGATGGGAACTTGAAGCTTAGGGATTCAGTGAGTCTTTGAAGCTGTTCTTGATTTACCTTGATATCTGACATTCAGAGACAAGAACAACCAGATTCCCTTGGCATGTTAGCATCTTCAGTATCTGCCTCCAGTACAGTCAGTGCATGTTGATTCTTTTTATATGTAAGACTTGAATCAATGGATAATTTCTCATAGCCTTACGCATACATACAAAAGACACCAATGGTGTGGGGCAAATTGCATTTGAATTATTCTGTGGCCAGCATGTGCTTATCCTCATTGCTTTTGTGTTTGAGTTGGAAAGCTCCTGTTATTTTTGGCCTTATGTATCTTGAAAACTTTAAAAATTACATCTATTATTAGTATTACCGTTGTTATTATTAGTGCTTATGGGGAGGAGGTCGTGTGTATATATGTGGTGGGGAAACAGTTGTGGAGGTTTTAGGCAAGATCTTGTGGTCAGCTCCCTCCCTTCCACCATGTGGGATTCTGGGATTGAACTCAGGCTGGCAGTCCTGGGGGCA